AGCCCCCTCGCTGAAGTCTCACGAGAGCTCTGCGTCTGCAGCCTGTGGCCCTGCACTCACCCCGTGACCTCATAAAGTTGACCAATGAGCTCGTGGAAGCGGTAGCGCCGACGGCAACATGGTCTGATCTTTGCTGGTGGCCTTTCTTGGGAGCCACACCTCGGGCAGGATCGTTCTGTAAACTCGCGCGCCGCACCTCGGGTGATAATTTTTCTGAGCTCCACGCGGATTTCTTTGATCGGCGCCGGGGCCCCCTCGGTGCGCTCCGCGCGCCAGGGAGAGTGGTCCAGCGCCGATCCACGAAATCCGCGCGGGCCTCCAAGAAATTTCGTTATGCCGTTTTCTCTTCCTCTAATGAGTGCTGTTGGCTTCGTGCACCACTCCTCGCACGCGCCCGTCGTCCACGGTCGTTACATCGAGATGCCACGAAGCCGCGGCGGGTTGGGGGTAGCGCCCTCAGCCGCGCCCGGCGGGCTGATGAAAGCTTTTCATCGGCTTCCCCGCCCCGCATCTGTGGCCTGATCTGCAGTACCCGCCTGACGCACCACATGTGAGGCCTCGGGGGCAATACCGACTCCAGGGTAGCCTTTAGACTCATCTGCTCGGTGGGGTACTTGTACGTTCGCCGACTCCAGGGTAGCCTTTAGACTCATCTCCTCGGTGGGGTACTTGTACGTTCGCTGTGGGAGCGTGAGAGGAATCAGCATCAGCCAGCACACAAGGATTGTCGACGCTTGGCGTATCTCCACCAGTCAGCTCGGTGACTGCGATTCCGCGTCCGCCCGCGTCAGAAAAAAGTATCTCCACCAGCCCATCAAGAAACGGTGCCCGTGCGAGTTGCCTTGTAGGGGCAAGCAGTGCAGCACAGAGGTGGCAGTGGTCAAGAGCAGTCTGACCAGACCCAGGACTGAACCATACGCATATATCTATATATAGGTACCTATACGACCACCCTCCGGGTGACAAGGAGGTTGGGTGTGGTGGTGGGGGAAAGAACCAACTGCTGGCAAATCTGATGGTTGTGATGATGACGATGTGGGTGACGCGCCCTCGATTTAGCGACGACGCGTGATGACGATGTTGCGCTGCGATGTAATGTCACTATCGTCTCCGCTTCCTTCCTCATAGCCAATGTTGCAATCAACCTCACTGTCGATCTCACTATCGATATCACAATCCATCCCACTCTAGCGATCTCGTTCTCGATTTCACTATCGACTTCACTATCGCCAAGGCGGGACACTCCAGGCCACCGTCCGCCCACCGCCGACGGAACACCGACGGAACACTAACGGGACACCAACGGGACACCACGGGAAACCACGACGGGACACCCTGTACCACCGCGCGCCAACCGGGGTCGGAGGGGCGGTCCACTGCATTCGCCCTAGCGACGGAGGGGTTATTCCTCTCGCGCGCCCACGCAGCTCCGCCTCGCCCGCACGCACGACACGAACACGAAACCGACACCGATTTCCCCGTGTGGGGCTGTCCGTTCCACTGCGATCTCACCCCCCAATTTCCGATACGTGTGTGTGTGTGTGTGTATATGTATATATAGGTATACATACGCACCGATCTACCGATATACACGCATGATGGCCTTCGGCCCATCCCGCCACCATGCCCAGGTTGTGGGTCGTAGGCCTCTAGGATGTGCGTTGGGACGTCGCGGGAGGCCTCTCGGGGCCCTCGTGGAGGCAGTTTGGAGGCCTCTTGGGGGCCGTTTTGGGGTCTCTTGGGGGCCTCTTGCTGTCTCTTGGGGGCACCTTGGGGCCTCCTCGGGGGGTTTTGAGGCAGAAGCCCTTCTTGGGGCCGTCTTGGAGCCCTCTTGGCGTGGGCCGCCTGCTGAGCCGCCTTGGGGCGCTCTTGGGGGGCCTCTTGGGGCGTCTTGGGGCGCTCCTGGTGGCCTCTAGACCATCTTGGAGATGCGGGACGGCGGAAAGGTGAGAACGCTGAAAACATTGAAGCAGGACATGAACCTGTATGCGTTGGGGTCCTCTTGGGACGCCTCTTGGGGCCCTCTTGGGGTGTCTGGAAGGCTTACTTAGGCCTGTTGTGCGTCTTGGAGCGCTCGATTCGAAGCCCTCGTGGACCGTCTTGAGGGCCTCCTGGGCCACTCTCGGCTCGTCGTGGGGCCCTCATCGGCTCCGAACATGGCACGCGACGGCCCAGGAAATTTAGCAAGGGACCCGAGGACACTCCAACTTGTGCCCGAGGGCACGGCGTCCGAGTTATATTTTTCATGTATGCCGATATGTAGTTCCAGATACATGTCGGTATGTATAGCTGTACACACATATATACACATATACATATGCG